TGGCTGTTTTTATCTGTAACCAGTTCAGTTTGAAAGTGACAATACTGCTGAGAGCCCCTATGGAGCGATTTGAAGGAGCACACAGGTCCTTTTCCATTTTTGACCCAATTAACTACAAGTTGCCACTGACCGTTTTCTAGAGGTCGGTATCGTTTGAAATGCCAGATTTTTGACACCTGAGTTTCTGTGCCGATACCACAGTAATACTTTAGTTGATATCTTTGACAAATCATTTTCTTTTAATTTTTTTAAAGCATTTGTTCAAAAAAGTAACGTCTAAAATTGGGAACTACCTGGAGGAAGAACATTTCTACAGGATTAGACCAATTTTTGGTATTTTACAGTTTTCTGACACATTTTGGTTGATACCAGAAAAGTTCTTCAGTTTGATACTCAGCCATACTGTTCTTTGTTAAACAAAATCGTTTAATTTTTCTACTGAAATTGATTGTTTGTCAGTGAAATTTCCAAAACTTGTGAAAAATGCTCATGACCTAAAATAAAACGGAAAAAGGAAGCTTTAACATCGGAGAAGCAAAAAATTACAAATCTTTTGAGTACTAATTTAAATTTCATGTGGTAGAAAATTCAAAACCAGCAGTGTATTCCTTTAAATAGCACAGAAAGACCAGACATAACTTATTCTGTGTCCTTCTCAATATAATCCTTTTAACCTTTTGAATGTTATTTCTTCCTCTGTAGACACTTGAGAAACAATCAAATCTGCCGCACAGAGTTGAAGATCAGATTTGCTGTTCTCGTGTGAACACGGCTTGTTAATTTAGACTTTGATTCACACAGGCAGCTTCTTCCCAGTGACCAGAATAACACTAATCTCTGATAACTATCAAACACTTCAGTCAGCTGAGTGATTCAGGCCAGGAGATGAAAGAGGATGATGTAATATCTCCAAATACACAAATCCTCTCTTTATGTGAAGTAGAAATCAATACCAAACTGCTGCTTTGTCCTCCTTTTATTAAATCTGAACAAAACGATCACTCAGTCTGGTTTGGAGACGCCTGATGCAGTTTTACATCACGTCTCATTAGGCAGGCGCTTCACATCCCATACCCCCCCACTCCCTCCTCCGCTCCGCTCGACCGTCTGGTGCTGGCGGACTAAAAGTTGCATCATTTGGTGCAGAGGCTGCTTGCCTCCCGTCTCCAGCAGACAGGGATACTTCACTAACACTCTGCTGCAGCATCACCACGGCTTCGTTATTGCTTAATCTGTGCCGGGAGCGTGCGTCCGGCGCGCTGAGCGAGTCGGATAAAACTAAAACCGGCTGCTGGATGTTTATCTGGTTCACCGGCAGTTGGGAACCAAACAGACACTTAAAAATTCACAGAAAAAAAGTTAGTTTTAATAACTGACATCGGGCTACTGTTTATTGATTTTTGTCTCTCAAGCCACATTAGCCGAAACTCATTTTCCTGTTTCGATATTTCAGAGATTTCCTGACTGAGATCTGAAGAGCTCAGTGTTTATATCAGTTAAAGATTGGACTGGTGCTTCACATGTAATTCATCCTTTCTAAATCAGTTAACATTTGAGCAAGCCTCGATCAGAACCTCTGTTTTTTTCTGTACTTGAATATGCTATGTGCTAGGCTATTCTATGTTGAAAAGACAAAAACCATGGCTCACTGATGCAGGTGGGGGGTGAAGGCTGGCCCGTGT